TCTTCAGCTCTTTCCTCCTCATTCATCTTAGACATCTGATTGAGCCGCTGCTACAAGGGAGTCTAGGTTTGTCTGTGGAAGAATTATCTCAAATCACCCTTCAGGTAGATATGTCATTGCTTTTTCTGTAAAATTTATTCCACCTGAAAATTTATTCTGTGCTTCCGAGTTAACACAATGCCTTTTCAAGATAGGTCATCATTGCTCATATTCATGACTGAGAGAGCCTGGCCCCAGTTTGCTGCAAGACTGACACTGTGAATCCTTCATCTGATCAGACACCTTTCAAGGAACCTAAGGCAAGAACTTGGTGCAGGTAATTTCAGCACAACTGTCCTGAAGTTTGATGAGGTTAGAAGGAATTGAAAACACAGTCATTTCCTTTTAAGTGCAGGAATACTGTGCCTGCTCTGGCTACGACAAATACAATTCCATCGCACTAGATGCTGTCCGTGTTTGGATTGCAACAAAACCAGTACCTACACTTCATCAGAGTGGCTCAATTCACATTGCTTAACAGCAGAAGGAGTTGGTGGCTCCCAGGTAAGCACAGGAATGCCTGGGATGGAGGATTAAACAAACCTGTGGGTCAAGCTATTTACTGGGGGCTGTTGGAGAGGTGCCTGGTGCATGAGCGAAAAGGGCTTTTCTCAACGCCTGCAGACTGAGACCTGAAATGTTTAGCCACAACCATGCTCTCTGGAGCTATTTCTGATTTTACATTCCTTGTATCACAGCAAGAAACAAGAGATTATACAGACACTGCTGCCTTCTGTTATTTCTTTAAGCTCCTCACCATATTCTCCAAGAATTAGGGCTGAATGCAACAACAGCTATTTGGGGCTGGTCTGAACAAAATCTCCTCAGACTCCAGGTCAGTCAATCTAGGAAATGAAAGTTTAAGGTCCTTCTTGGATTTAGAAATAATTTTTTTCTTTAAAGTAATATCCAATTGTTGGTAAAGGTGAGTTATTTCTGAATTTAGTTAACAAGTCCTTCAAACTAAAAGAATCTGGTTTTGTACACCACTGTGCTGCCTCATTGCAGTCTTCAGTATCCTCACAAGGGGAAGTGGAGGGGTAGGTACAGAGCTCTTCTTCACTCTTGTGACCAGTGACAGGACTTGAGGAAACAGTATGAAGCTGTGTCAGGGGAGCTTTAGGTTATGCACCAGGAAAAGGTTTTTCACCCAAAGGGGGTTGGGCGCTAGAACAGGCTCCCCAGGGAAGTGGTCACAGCCCCAAGCCTGACAGAGTTCAAGAAGCATTTGGACAATGCTCTCAGGCATCAAGTGTGATTCTTGGGGTGTCCTGTGCAGGGCCAGGAGTTGGACTTAATGATCCTGATGGGTTACTTCCAACTCAGCATGTTCTATGATCCTATGGTAGTGTGTAACTACGGAGGAGCTGTAGCTTCTCACAACTCTGCAGGTCCCTACTTCTCCCTACTTTATGCTGGTAAAGTATATACACACACCAGACCTATTTTCTCTGGCACCCAGATAAAGCAAGCAAGTAGTGAATTATGATACCTAAAAGATGCTACAAGGACACAGTGTAGCTCTGCTTTAGCTCATCTAGCTGAATTCCAAAAAAAACCCCTTTTATTACACATGATTGCTACAATTTATCATACTTGGCGGAGGGATACACAGACTACAGGGTGAGGGGAATGCATGGAACTTTTTATCACACAGCTACACATTTTTCAAACTATTCAAACTCTTCAGGAACCAGATTGCAACATACTTGTTGCCATCAATTAACTGACCAATATATAGTCCATAAATGGAACTACTATAAACAGTTTATAAACAGTCTTTTAGCCTCAGAATTGCTTCTTGTCTTAGGCATACGTGGCATAGTCTCACTTTGGCGGAGTTAGCAGTTCTTTTTCTCTCACTCAGGCTCCAAGGTCTCTTGCTGAATTCCGTGGTTATCTCTGAGGCTTTTCGCTGAACACCTGCTCCTACAGTGAATCACCCAATTTTTTTCCTCCTATCCCAAATTCTGTTGTTTTGATGCCTCATAGACAGAAGTTTGGAGAGCAGAATCTTTCTGCATTTTGTAATCTACACAGTGGAGAATACTGCCAGTGCTCAAGAAATCATAGGAGTTAGTGACTCACCTTTGCCTTAAGCTTATGAAAATAAGTATTAATGTTTGTCAGGAGTGGCCAATTAATTTTGTTTTCATTTATTGCATTTGATCCATCACTTTTTTTGTTAGATTCTAAAACCAGTTTGTGGGTTTTTTTTATCTCTTCAGTACTTACCTTAATATGTTTTGATTCATGCTTGCAAGCATTGCTTACGAGACAGTCACTGCAGTTTTGTTGAACATTTGCTAATACATTATGTGCCTGGTTCCCCTTACAGTATTTTTCTCCTCCTGTAGGTGCATTTGCAGATAAAGGTTTCTATGTGAATTCAATTAAGTTCAACAAAATATAGACTCCATGTTAAATGAGAAGATTAATGGTTACAAAGAGTGTTCGAGGGTTCTCAGTCTTCTCAGCACGGTTGTCTTCCTCTCATGTCTGTGATGGAAGTAATTAATCACAAGTAATTATTTTTGACTCAATGGGTCAATTATTTGAAGGTGGTGGGGCAGGTCTGGTCAAACCAGACCAAGAAGCACAGCACCTACGATTCACCTGAGCAACATGGGGGGTCTCAGGGATATGGAGGACAGGGTCTCTCACCATGGTGAGTGCTCACAGCCTGTCTGTACTGCAGTGGGACAGCATGTGATGGATTCAGGCTTGCTGGTGGGCAGCTGCCATGGCTGCCAGGAGCAATGGAGCAAGGAAGGCCCATGTGTGTGGAGATCAGCCCTGCTGGACACACCCCTCGATTCTTCCTGCATTGGTCCCATCTCAAGTGCACCAGTTCTGTCTCATTGCAGACTGTCCTTTTAGGGATACAAGAGGGAGCAGAAGGGGAAGGCTGTACTGGTGAATGGAGGGGGAAATCTGCGGTGTTTGACAGAACCCCACATCCTCCTGGGGGGCCCTGGGGAGCTTACAGGGACCTGTGATCTTGAGGCCAGGCAGTGTGACTGAGCAGGATAGAAAGGAAGCAACCCTCAGAAGATCCTCATGCCACAGATGCAAGACAGGTAACTTGTCTCATTAAAAAAAAAAAAAAAAAAGAAATTCTCTCAGTAAAGTAGCATAAGAAGGGGTTTCAAGAGATGTGGAAGGTAAGCAGGTGGCAGACTGTCTCTGCACATGCTCCCCCTGCCCAGTCCAACAGCAGCACAAGGCTCTGCTGATCAATAGTTAATCTCCAGAATAAACCAGGCTTGCTCCAGAAGTAAATTCAAAATAAACACAAGTCTTGCTTATCCTTAATGTCATGGCCTACCTGAGATGGAGAAAGGTCTCAAACCCCATGACTGGCATTAGGGCATGATTTAAACTAAAAAGCAGTGAACAAGAGGGTAAAGGGATTGCTCTCCCTCCTCCCTTTTCCCAAAGCTGGTTACCAGAGACCTTCACACCAAAACCAGTCAGTAAAATGCAAAAAACAGGGAGCAACCATCCAAGATGTCTGGGAAATTTCTCAAGTAACACTGAGCATCCTGATGAGGAATGTACATGCTACTCTCTTCTGTACCACAGATGGTCAGGTGGGCTGTTAGTGTCCCAGTATTGCTGCCTGCCCAGCACCCCTCATCTGAAAGAAGCAGGCAAAGACATCTACAACAAAAGCAGATTGATTTCCCTTCTCTGTGCTTAGGCAGATGTCTGATTCTTTGGCACTATTTGTGCCATGCTTTCATGTCCACAGTCATATCCTGGTCCTTTTAATTGAGGTCTCCTCTGTGAACTCTCTTCTTGCCCATGAAGAAGATCAGGGCTTTGGGGGTCTTGCCAGTAGATATGGATCTACTGTCACTGCCTTTGCTTCTGACATCCATCGCTTTGTCTTCATCCACCAGCAGGTTGTCACAAATCACTTTTTGCCAGCTACAGTGATTCCAGTCAGCGGGAATATTTTCTGATCCTGGTCTGTGATCAAGCCCACTTCTGGAGACAAGACAGCTGCGAGGACCACTCCTGGCTTAGCTGCCCACACATCTCTGTTGTCAGAGAGGCCCACGACAGCCACATCTCCAAGATTCCTGTCCACCAAGATGCTCTTGATGTAGTACATAAAGTAATGCAGGATGGCTGAGCTGTCTGCATCTTTCAGAAATGCCCAACACGAAGCTTCCCCACTTTCCACCTGCTGGGGCTTTAGTCTCAGCACACTGATTTCAATCTGGGAGTTTGGTCTCCAGATCCTGGCAAGCCTGATTGAGGGAGCTGGGGTAAAACAGCAGCCAAGGCTCTTGCTTTGCTTATGAGGAGAGGCATGTGGTGACAGCAGCGCTCTCCACTACAGCCTGTATTTTATGTCATATTTGCCTTGTAGCTGGGTATCCCACAAAATCACTTCCCTGCGACCCTGCCAACGGGAGGGAAACTCTTGGAGAGGGTCTCACGAGTTTAGTACCGAGCAGCTGGGGCAGTCGTGAATATATCCCAAATATATCCCAAAGCAGCCGAACGCCTCGGGACATCCCTTCCACATCAGGTGCCCACCACATTAGGCTGCTCGTCGCACCAGTTCTTCGCCTCCATCTGTCCACCCGTTCCCCGCTTCTCCAAGTCAAACCAAACGCGCCAATTTGACGCGCTCGGTGCTTTTCCACACAGCCCGCACTTTTCCTGTGGCACTGCTTCGAATAAAAGCCCGGATATCAGAAGAAACGCATCCACTGCCGGCGCTTTGCCGAGCCGGACGCTCGGCCCTTTATTTTCCGCGCTGTGACCGCCCTCCTCCTCTCAGCGAAGGTCGCGGCCCCGCTGCCCCCTCAGCGCGGGGCCGGTGCCAGCCCCGTCACGCCAGGCGGGGCCGGGGGCGGCCGCAGGGGGCGGTGCGGGGCCGCTCCGGGGCCGCTCCGCCCACGGCACTTTCGGTCGCGGCGGGGCCGCGGCGAGGCCGAGTCGCCATGAGCGGCCTGCGGGGCTCTCTGGGGCCGGCCCGGCCGGGCTGGGTGTGGGGGGCGGCGGCGCTGCTGGCGCTGGGCGCCCTGCTCGGAGCCTGGCGCTGGGCCGGGCGGCGCCGCCGCCGCCGCCTGCAGCGGGTCGGGACGGTGCTGAGGCTCTTCGTGTACCCGGTGAAGTCGTGCAAGGGGGTGTCGGTGCGGCGGGCGCAGGTGACGCCCATGGGGCTGCGCAGCGGGGACATGCGGGACAGGTACTGCGGGACGGGGCGCCGGGTTCCCCGTTTGTCGGGTGCTTTCCTCGGGACCTGGGGAGAGGCACCTGCTGCTCCGCGGGTGCTGCCGTGCCCGCCATTAACGCCGTCGGACGCGTTTCTGTCCCCCCGGCCCGCCGCAGGTTCTGGCTGGTGATCACGGAGGATGGGCACATGGTCACGGCTCGCCAGGAGCCGCGGCTCGTCCTCGTTTCTGTCGGCTGTGACAACGGGCACTTGACCTTCGAGGCCCCAGACATGGAGAAGCTGTGCTTGCCTGTGAATGTCCCCAGGAAAAACCCCGTCCACAACTGCAGGTACTGAAAAAGGTATTTTTGGCCACCTCCCCTCTCTCTAAATACAGTCTTTCTCATATACTTTGCTTTTCAAGATTGTGTGAGGCTTTGCATTTTCTAATGCAGAAATTGGAGGGTGAAAGTTGGGTGCTTTTGCATCTTTTCTGTGGGGGTGTGTCTCCCCATCTGGATAATGGAGAGAGACTTCAGACCGGGGCCTGTACCGACAAGATAAGGGATAGTGGTGTTGAAATAAAAGAGAGTAGATTTAGATTAGATAAAAGGAAGATGTTTTTTGCAGTGAGGCTAGTGAGGCACTGGAACATGTTGTCCAGAGAGAATGTGGCTGCCCCATCCCTGGGAGTATTCAAGTCCAGGCTGGATGTGGCTCTGAGCAACCTGGTCTAGTGGGAGTTGTCCTTGCCCATGTCAAGGAGGTTGTCCTAGGTGATCTTTAAAGGTTCCTTGTAGTCCAAACTGTTCCGTGATTCTTTGAAATTCTCTCCTGTGTGTTACACAGGAGGCCAGGATCGATTTGGTTTTAATCTGCTAAACGCTAGTGAAAACAAATCTTAGGAAATGATGACACAGTATCAAAGACCATGCATTATACATTAGCCAAATGAACTGTGATCTTGCCTCTTCGTAGAATGTTATGTTTGCTCATTTGTTTTTACTTCTAGTGTTTTCACTTATGCTTGGGTGAGCAGTTGCATCTCAGAGCCTCAATCATGCCCTTTGGTATTTCTTGATCACAGCTAAAATCTGCATCAGCATTTTTGGATGCACGCTGGCCATTCAGAGCTGGTGAGATGTTGAAGTTTAGATTCCCTCACCCTGTAGGCATTTAACTGAGGTGCCTCTTTTAAAAACTTGCTTGCCCAAGGCTCACCCTGTGGTCACAGGAAAGACAGGCATCCCTGGAGACCAAGGCATTCCCTGTAGTTGCTACCTCAAAGGAGTTTCAGGTGGATGGGTTACAAAGAGTGATTTAGCTGTGTGCTTAGAGTTTTGTTGTATGATTCCAAGCCTAATTGTTTTATCTGTGTATTGAAATCCATGCTGGAAAACTACCAGGGAGAGCTGGAAAATCTTTTCTCTGCTACAATGTCAATTAATATGTAAGAGTGTTTAATAACTGTAAATGGTGTTACAAAGATACTGGTCAGTGTTTGTCCTTTGGATAGCAGAGATGGTTAATGCACCAGCTGCTATAATTAAAACTAAAAGTGCTGACAAGGAGCTGCATTTGCTTGCTTTTAGCATAAATCTGTTGCTGTGGAAACCCTTGATCAGCAAAGCTCAGTAGCTCTGTTTATACAAGGCAGGTGCAAGTTACAAATGGTAGAGAAATGGAACAGTCTTTTAAAAAGGTGTGTGCATTGCCTATATGTGCCAATGACGCATGCACTACAAAACCATGCAGTTTTCAAGGTGTTATTTTTCTAAACTTTGTTGTGCCGTTAGAAAAGTATTTAAATAGCCTAATAGATTTCAGTAATGAAAAATTATCTTGGATTTTCCAATTTTAGAGCTTGGTGATTTGTTCTTCTGATTTTTTTTTTCTTTCTTTGCCTTAATAAACCTGCACTCTCTGCCTTTAAAACTGCTAGAATTTAAGAATCCAAATGATCAAAAGTTAAATGCATGTAAACAGACTTTAAGAATTACGAAGTTGTCTGGCATTGTAGGTGGTGTCATAGAATGTGAAATTAGCAACACCCATAGTTGGAACATTGCCTTGTACTTCTCAGGAAGGATCCTAAGGGTTTGTATGACTCTTGCTGTGCTTAAACAATTTGCCATTTGTCAGCTCAAGGCTGACTTTTTCTGATCCATCTGTAAGAACGAGGTTTGGGAGTAATACTGTGTTCAGAGAAATGAAGATTTGGGTTTTGCTCCCAGATTCTTCACTTCCAGCATGTGAGTGTGAGTAGCTGTCTTGCTGCACAGTGTACTCTGCTGGCCCTGCACAGACTTGTGTGTATTCCACCTCTGGGCCAGCAGGATGCCTTCACATGGGTGCTGGCTCGTGCCCCATGGTTTGGAGCCAAGGCAGTGCAATAGTGCCCCTAGCTGCCTAGGGCTGTGCAGATGCCAGTCTTGAAATCTGCTAACTCCAGTTGCAAATTTCATGTGGATAATTAAAATGCTGTCTTTGAGAGAGTCAAATGAAAGACTGAAGCCAGTGCATAGGCACATCTTCTGTTTGTGCAAATGTTAGAGGGTTTCTATAGCACTCTGGTTAAGAAACCTTGTGCTCTTCGTTTGTGCCCAATGTCTGTAACACTTCAGTTGCATGATCCATTCCTATGGGATCCCTAAACCACGGAGTGCTTAGGATACATCTGCTTCGTGACTGGAAACAGTAGTGTTGGAAGCTATAAGACCCTCATGTCTGTTGACCTGCCAGTCAGAAGGCACACAGGGGCTGTGGAACGGAGAGAAGAGAAAGATTGCTGTCTGGGGCAATGGCATTTAATCCCAGCCTGTGTTGTGGAGTAGATACAGGAATCCCAGCAAATGGAGCGGGGATATTGCTGCTGACACCCTAATGGTTCATCTCTCCCCTGGTGAGTAGAGGAGGGCTCCTAGGGGCTAACTCTGGATGAACTGTGTGGGCATCTCTGTGCTTTAAGCTGTCCAGGGTATGATTGCTGAGGTATAGGAAACTGCAGTGTGTTTGGGTCAAAATGGCTACTTTGAAGAATGTAACAAAACTATTAATGACTGTTGTTGAAGTTTATTGAAAGGTTGAGTTGAGGTCTGCCTTTTCTTGCCAGGAAAGTGTTCCTTGTCTAAACTTGTTTGTATTCTGGTGCCCTTGGCCTTTTGTGTGCCATGGACTTTGTTTCCATTATAAATTTTTAACCTCTCATACTGATCTATTTTATATGTGAAGTTTTAGCTTAAGTTTTACTCAACTCTAGCTAAATTTTAACAGCACTAAAGTCTGAAAGAAAGTTTCCATCACAATTAGGGACAGTTACAATAAATAACACTTGTACATCAGTTACGGCAACTAATCATGTCCTTTCAAACTATCATTTATTTTTTAAAGTTAATTACCTTTCAGTTGATTTCTTGGTAGAAATCTTTTGGTGTTGCAGTCACATGGAAATGCAAGAGTAGACCTGGCAAACAGATGGGTTTGTTACTGGTCATTGATGTGACAGTCAGCTCTGGGCACCTTAAGGCTATTTCAAGGCTTATTTCACCAACTGGTATTGTCCAGCCATGTCCATGTTACTTAGCTTTACAAAACATGGTGGCCACAAGGAGATTGAACACTGGGATTGATCCTTGTGCCAGATTTTGAAACCAACCTCCAGCTTGTTATAATTCAGGGGATTTGTTTTCTGTATATTGCTACTACTATTAAAACATGTTTGCCTTCTAATAATAAGCATCATTGAGCCTTCATCTTTCCAACTAACTTGCTGATGTGTTGTTACTCTTCAGGGTGTTTGGACAGGATATCCAAGGCAGGGACTGTGGTGATGAAGTGGCTCAGTGGATCACCACTTTCCTGAAATCACAGCCCTATCGACTGGTGCACTTTGAGCCCTCCATGGTGCCAAGAAAGTCAAAGAATACAATAAACCTTTTCCGAAGCACTGATGAGGTAAATAAATGTTCTTTTTCTCAGAAGTACTTCCTTTTAACCATTTCCCACCCACCTACCAAAACTTGCCTATTCCACCATTGGTGATTGAGCCCAGTTTAGCAAGGTGTGTAGTCATGTACTTGAACCATGTGAGTATTCTCCTCTTCTGTGGTGAGGTGACTTGCTTAAATTTTACTTCTAAGGTGTTGACCATTTGCAGCTAAAGAGTCTGAAACTGATATTTGAGGAGGAACCTTTAGTGTCTCAATGAATAGAAAAAAAGTTACATTTTTAAATATGTTTCCATGGTGTAATCTATGTTGCATAGAAAGCCTCCATTCCCTATCCCTTGTTGGGTCTGAGAGTGTACTGATGCAAGTTGTTACTTCATATTTTGTTTAAAGGAATGATACTTAACCCAGGGCCTTATAGCTGTGGGCCTAGGAGTTAAAATTCGAAGAAGGTTACAGAAGTTTCATCTCTTTCTGTGGGAAGAGGCTCGAAGGTGTGATATTAGAGAAATTTAATGCAGGTATGGGAAGGAGGTGTTGTGCTCGGATATCCTCATGTCATTTGAGTCACTGATGCCCTTCTTTTTGTTTGAACAACTCTCTCAAGTGAAGGTGGTTTGAACTGTCCCTGATGAGTGTAAGGTTTTTAAACAAATTAAAATTGTGAGTACCTTGTCTTACTGATGTTATTATTTGTATGGCATCAGTGTCTTGCTTGTTGTTGCACGAAGAGGAGAAGGTATATTCAATTATGGATTTATGGATATGCTTTTGTTATGTAAGGGCACTGAGATCAATACAGAAGACTGGGTTTCAGCAAAAGGGATGTGAGATTAGGAGGGGTGACATGCAGGAATCCTAGCATGAAAAAAGGGCAGAATTTTTTGTATAATTATTTTAGCAGTCGTCATGTGATGGTTGAAAGGCATGTACAAGAATAGGAGGAAGAATAATATAAAAGAAAGACAGGAGTGCTATACACTAAAATTCTTGCCAAAAATTATCTTTTTTTTTTTTTTTTTCCCTGTGGAAGTCCACTTTTAGGATTTTTGTGAGTTTTTTTGAATACTCTTCTTTGGCCTTGTTT